TTATAAAATGACGCGATCCGCATGAATAATAAATTAATAATATAAATTAAGTTTTAAATACTATATTTGTAACAGTAGTGATTGTCACCGGGCAGGGTTCGGGAATGAATATAAATTCATAGGTCAAGTATTTTTTTTGTAACATAAGTTTAACACGAAGCACGACGTTTCTCATACATAATTAATGAAACTTTGATGTTAATCTAATATCTTATTCGGACTTACACCGCATATTGACGGCGTCCATTTTCTTTGTAAAGATGCACACATCTTTGATTTTAAAGTTTTATCGTAATTTTGATTGTTTTATTGGATAATTGTTAAATGAACTTTCATATGATAATAACACGATAAAATATGGTTATTTAACATAATAAACACATAATTCAGTAATTTATACAGGTAACGATATACACCGATATACAGTAAATATAAATAACGATATATAGATAAATATACCGTACGTATGTAATTGTTGTGATTGCGAGTTTCATCCGAAGGTTAGAAACCCCAATTTTGGATGATTGTCAATTCATCCATCATGATTAAACATTTGACGCGATTTGAGTGGTTGTGAATTGTTGTAAAATGATTATAAATGGTTATAAATGATTGTAATAAATGATTGTAATGTTTGTGAATGAGAAAAAAAATTTAAGATTGGATTATTCAAATATTTAGACTTTATTAAACTTTATTAGACTTGATTATTAACATTAACTTAAAGAATTTAAAGAATCTAAAGAATTTAACATTATAACGATAACATTTAACGTTAATAAAACCTAAATAAGATTTGTACAGGTTTAATGACACTTACCGACACTTACCGACATTTACTACATTACATTTATTATTATATAACTCAGTCGGTATTGAATCCTAGTGGTTGGAAATCCTCATAAATAGATTTATTTAAAAAATGCTTTTATGGTCAAAAATAATTCTGGAAAATTTCATTTTTATTCCTTAAATCACACTAATTGATAAAAGACTCAAACGATAATAAAGAAAAAATAGTTACACTGAATCAAACGTTTCAAGGAAAGTTGTACACTCTTGTTAAACTGATCGATAATAAATTGCATGTTCCGGTGGCGTACATAATTTATTTAGCGTGCATATTTGTACTGGTACTTAACAGCTAAGTATGTAACATATCCACGTATGTAACTTGTAACGTACTGTATGTATGTAACTTGTAACGTACTGTACGTATGCACTGTACGTATGCACGTATGTACGTATCAGGTATGTGTAGTGAACAAGGAAAATAGTTTTTACGTACGTAGCCACCTACCTACTTACTCATCTTACTATTACTATTGCTATATCTGATATCAGATATCAATATGTATGTACGTATTTTACGTACGTATGTATGTATTTTCCATCAAACCATGCATGAACAGCCACATCATTAATCACCGAGATCTTTCCAAGTTTTCGATTGATTTGCTAATGGGAAATAATGTTCATCTATGCGTCTCTTTTTTATATTCTGCTTATTATTGTGAGTATATTTGATCATTAGATATAATAATGTGCATTGTTATTTTAAACAGTCTTACGTACTATCAAATTTATTCACAAAATTTATTTACAAAAATTATTCACAAAACTTATTTACAAAAATTATTCGCAAAGATTACTCGCAAAGATTATTCACAAAGATTACTCGCAAAGATTATTCACAAAGATTACTCGCAAAAATTATTCACAAAGATTACTCGCAAAGATTATTCATAAAGATTACTCGCAAAGATTACTCATAAAGACTTTAAACAAAATTCGTACAACGACATTCAATGATGAATAACTCCAGAAAAATAATAATTATATTTATCGAATAAAGACCAAATTAAGTAGACAACTGTTACAATAATACAATATTTCTTTTTCTTTTTGAAAGAGATTTGGAAACCTTTTGTTTTTATTTTTTAAGCATAAATAATAAACCTTTCGAAACCCCTCCCCATGTGTAAATCTTTATTTGTGGTCTGGGTAATGTCTGGGTAATATCTGGGTAGTTGCCTTAAATGTTTTGACAAAAGTTATATTTGGTACTTTATAAGGTTAAACACATTCCTTAGCCGTTTACGCTTAACACTTAATATAACATTATTTCTTGGCTCGACTTTGTGCCCGATGAGATGACAAAAAAATAAAATAAAATAAAATAATAAATTAAAATAAAAAAATTAAATCAAATTAAATCAAGTTTCAACTATTCCTAGAAATCAGGCGCCAAAGGTTAGTTAATAAATAAACAACAAATAAACTGACTGTACTTGCTTTTTCGGTTACAGTCTGATGATTTTAAACATGAGATTTTTTCAACTCATGATTTTACTAAAAAAATTCTTCTATTAGAATGTTTTAAAAAAAAAAATCTCAGCATTATTGTTTATGGTTACTATAAACTTCTATAGGAATCTATATACATCTATGAATATCCATAGTTATCTATTGGTGATGTACTTGAATTTAGACAGGTATTACAGGCTCCGACCTAAATTGTTTAAATTCCGGTGAAAATGATGCATCGAATTGGTTAATTAAGTATTGTACGTATAAACTTAATAATGATGGTAAAAGATAAACTATGTAATACGATTGATAACTGATTGACTATTACAAAAAACAAAGTTCATTGAGAATTGCTATAGATGGTCCAATATGTATGGGGGCGTTTTTTTTGAACTACTATTTCAATGAATAAAAAAATTTGATTAATTAACTTATTAATCGAAAAAAATGATCTCTAAAAATGTTTAGTCTGATGTTTCCTTCCTGTCAATTAAAAAATATTTGATTATCTATAAAAAATTCGGCCTTCAATCCTAGTACGTACGTATCAGATATACTGTAGTTAATTAGTACACATACCACATGTATATACTACATTTAACAGGTAGTATATGTAGTATACTACACAAACAAGTACATACTACAAACAAGTACATACTACAAACAAGTATATACTACAAACAAGTATATATTACAAGTATATATTACAAGTATATATTACAAGTATATATTATTAATATTATTATTAATACTATTAATATATTAATAATACACCTCTAACTCTCTCTAACCCTATGTTGTGTCAGTTCTGTGAGAACCAAGCATTCTCGTACGTATATGTTCTCTCTTTAGTAATTTTTATTGGTGCTTTATCAATATCAATTATCGAAAAGGTTAATGAGAAAAAAGGTTAGCAATTACACAAACCAAATGAATAACTTATTTGATGATTATTTCCCAATACTTTGTCTTACCAATACTTGTTACTATACATCTTCTCACACCTGCTAGCATAAAGAAGTTTGACTGTGTCCTTTATAGTAATATAAATAAGGATATACGCGGCTTTATTTAAAATTGCTTGTTGGTTGTAAATATTTATGTAAAAGATGAGAAATGATCTTCAATGCCTGTTTAATTGCTTTCGTTTATGACAAATGTACAGGTTTTTATCATTGTTCTTTTGCTTGAAACTTTACTATCTAATCTTTATCTTGTTTTTTTTTGTATAAATCTAATGATTTCCCAAAATAATAATTATTATTATGATGGTATATACTTTCTTATTGTGTGATTAGAAAAGCAAAGACCCCTTAGATCTTTTGAACCCAATTATTGGGTAAATAATTTTTTATGATTATCATTAAATGGTGTACAACCATTGTCTTGAATTCCCAGAGTTATTACTTTCTCGGTAAACAATCGTCCGTTTTTTGTACATGTGATTTTACGGTGTTAAACGATCCGAAATTTTATTCGACAATTTCTAGTTTCTTGATGGAGAAATGTTTCACCATTCAAGAGAGCATTTAAATCTTTTTTTTTACTTACTTTCGTTAGAATCTAATTACAATATCCGGGTAAATGGCTTCCGGTAAAGATAATAATGATGATGAAAATAACACGTGCTATAAAATATTATTTGTCATAATATGTCATAAAATACCATAAATTGCTATAATATGTCATAAAATTCTAAAAAACGCATGGTCAATATTTCTTTACAAGTTGCCCAACTATTAAAAAAAACTGCCCCGCATGATCCTTACCTTTCTCTAATTTTCCGGCACAAATTCATTGTTATCAGGAAAAGCAAGAAAAAAAACCCTTTGTGCACATACTATACGTAATTGCCAATGATGAATTCTTTTGTGTATGCGCATTTATTATAATTTATACTCTCATAATAATTACCATTATAATATCATGTTTAACATTATATTTATAAATAAAATACTTACTTTCTATACTATATATTGTTTCACAACATACCTTTTGGCATGTAGTGCATTATTGGACTGTAAGTAAGGGTGCTTTCAATTTAAAAATTTATGCATAATATATATTTGAAATATTTTATTTTATATATATACTGGTATATTATTCACTCTCGAGGGGATTTTTTCATCGATGGACTAGCATAATAATAAAATACTTTTTTTTTTTTTTTATTGCGCCTTTTTCAATAAATCTTGCTTTTTTTGCTATTCCACTTTTTTTTTTTTTCTTTATCTAATTTTAAATTTTCGTGGTGCCAACTGGAACTTGGTGCATTATTTTTTTAAAAGTATTGAAATATAAATTATATAAATTAATATATAATATCCACATATATCTTTCCGCGTTACTTTGAAACTGGAAAATAAACTTTTATCTTCTCTCTTCTCTTCAACCTTAAAAAAAAAAAAAAAGAAAAAAGGGAAATAGAAAACTTTTTTTTATTTTATTTAGAATTATATTTCTTTAAAAATTTATTGTTTCTTTATATTTGTATATCAACATATATAACTATCCGAAAAAAATTTATTTGGATTTTTTTGATAACAAACAAATTACGCCCGATTTTGTTTTTTATAAACTGATAAATAACTGCATAGTATCCTATCTATTAGAATTTTATTCTCTTGATCATTCTCACTCTCTTCTCAAAAAAAAAAAATCCATCTTTTCGTTAGTTAGCGGTCTACATAATGCCAGCCGCTTCTACCACATTATCAACCGCTAGTTCCCAACAACCTGGAACTAAAGCGACAAACAATAGTTCTTTATCTAATCCTCCTAAAAAAAAAACAAAATGGCTTTTCATATCGGCGGCAATATCAAAAAAGCCGATGGATGCTGCTTCAAAAGCTAATGATATATCTAATAACAACCATCATTTAAACAATGACAAGACAACGCGTCATTTTCATGATTCTAAACTAGACCTTTCTAAACCTAGTAAAGTTATTTGTTCTCGGTTCAATTCTAGTTCTAGTAAATTATCTTGTAACTCCTGTGTTACTGATAATACCGATACCGATAATACTCCTTCGTCACCTACAAACTCTCTTCAGTCCCTGAGTGATGACATAGAAATGATACTTGATGATGACAGTCAAGAAACGTACGTATTTTTATTTATTATATATTATATTCTTACTTTCCGTTATCCATTATATGTGTGTTATATTCATTTTATTGTTATATGTGTGTTATATTTATTATTTTTTATATAACTTAATTTTTTTTTTTTTTATATTTATATTTATTATTTATTATATAAAAATTTATCTATTATATAAATTTATTTACTATCGCTATATAACTTATTTATTATAAAACGATCTTTACCTTTTAATTCTTTTATTTAACCTTTAATTTTTTTTAAAATATATATTTTTTTTTGTTAATTTGGTTAATTATTAACCCATATTTCTGACCAATAGTGATGAAGAACCATTCGATACAACCATCGATACTCCTCAATCATCACAATATCATGCAAATAAGGTAAATTTCTCTTCTTATCTAATATTTTTCTAATATTTTTTAATTTTAATTTATTAATTTAAAATTAACTTTCTTCTTTTTTATTCATGAAAAGTCAATACTATCTACTAAAACAAAATCTAGATCTTCTTCTGTCACTTGGGTGGAAGACTTAACTGATCCTACTTTTTCACCCATTTCAACTGTGCCTCCTCAACCCTCAAATATCTCAAATATTACGACTAATGACATTGATTCATCTCAGTTAAATGGTAGGTATCGTGATTGATCATAATTTTTTCATTTCCATAAAATTTATTAGACTTTTATCAAGTTGACATAAGCAATACGGATAGTCTAGTGGTTTGATGAATTACGCAATAAATTATTTGCCCTTTTGGCGCGATCTATAGTCAATAATATTCATCGAATAATACTTTCAATATTATTAAGATATATAACTTAATACCATTTATACTTTCTAAACACTTTTACAGCCACATATATTTTATTATCATTTACGCTTAGCCCATTGCACATGGCTAGTTACTTGAATAACTACTTATAATCCACTTCTCATAAACTTTCATAATCCTATTTTTTTTTTTTTTGGTAATCGCGCCAATATTTCTCCTTTAATAAATATTATTCCCTTCCCCTTTTTTTTTTTTATACTTAAAAAAAACTTAAAACTTTAAAACTTTAAAACTTTATCAACTTTCTTTTTTTTTTTTTTTCATCGCATGTATTAAAATTTTTCTTTTATATATTTTCAATTGTTTAGATACTAATCAGTGTGGTACTCCATCGTCAACACAACCCTATACTACTAGTAAATTATCAGGATTTAAAATTTTACATCACAAGATGACCAAGAAAAAAGATGTTGAAAAAAGTCAAGATAACATTTCCACCAACAAATTCATGGTTCGAACTCTTAGCCTTTTAAAAACTTTTTCCGAAACTGAAAATAATAATAATAATGATGATGATGATGAAAAAGATTCTTCAAAGAATTCATTGAATCGATTACGTAACCGACGGTCAAAATCATTTAATGATTTGTTAAATAAAGAAAATGGTCGAGTTGTTGATGAATCTATTAAAGATTCTTCATCAAAGAAAAATATTATTGAAACTACAACAACAACTTCTTCTAAACGTAAAAAACTTGGTTCTATGGAATTTAGATCTATATCATTACCTGATTCATCTTTAAAAGAGATTCCTATCACTTCAGAACTCAATCATGATTCTTCGGTGTCGGATGATGAAATAAGATGTGAATCACCTGTCTCTGATTCACCGAATAATAATATTACTTTTCTAAGTAAAAGATGTTCTTTAAATGAATTTAATAATGATATTAGGCGTAGTTGGTCTCATATAGAAGTACGGCATCTTAAAAACATATTTTCAAGAAAACGTGCTATTCTTGATGGGAAACGACGAAACTCCTATGCTTATACAAATTCTTTAAAAACAAATCAACAAATTGCTGCCGAATCTGAAATTCGCCTTTTAAATCATTTTCATAAAACAAGGAATTCTAATGTGAGTGTTGATAGTGCTATAGTTATAAAAGATCCTCCTATCGTAACTTCACCTGTCCTTCAAGTTGATGAAGAAAAAGAAATTGATGTTACGGCTAAATCAAAACAAATGAGAAAATTCATTGCTGGTGAAATTTATTCTACTGAACAAAGTTATTTAGGTCATTTAAATGATTTAAAAAAGGTATGTTTTTTTATATATAATATTATTATAAACATGCATTTATTATAATTTATATTATTATTTCATTTTTATTAATTATCTGTTTCTTATTCCATTTATTATTATTATTATTATTGATAGATATTCATGGATCCATTTATCGATGCGGCTCAATTACCTAATCCGTTAGTTAATCCTGATGACATTGAAACAATCTTTGCTCATATAAATGACCTTATAGTATTATCTACTATAATTGTAGAAGATCTTGAAAGTAGCATGGATCCATGGCAAGAATCTGAGTCAATGGTTGGCGAAGTATTTTTAAAGTATAGACCTTATTTTGAAAGATTATTATTGTATGCAGAAAATCATCAACAAAGTAGAATGGCAATTAAACGAGCAAATGAAAATGTTTTATGTCGAAAGTTTATGCAGGTATGTAATATTTTCGGATTTTTAAAAAACTAAAAATGTTTGAATTCTCTAAAAAAAAACTAATATATATATATATATTTGATTATAGTCATTAAGAAAACCAGAAACAAGTCGTCTTAACCTTGCTGATTATATGATAATGCCAATACAACGTGTTACGAGATATTGTCTTCTACTTCAAGGTATTTAAATTTAATCAAATGATTTCATACGGATTATATATATATATATAGACTCAACGTATTCTACATGTTTTATGTATGTTTTATACATGTTTTATACTTATTATATATATATTTTTTCAATTTTTCAATAAAATTAGAGTTAAAGAAATATACACCGGAATTCCATATGGACTATGACGATCTATGTCATGCAGTTGATAATATGAAAACTCTTGCTCTTGAATGCGATAAAACTATTCAACAACTGTGAATGAATATAAATAAATTCCTTGTAGTGAATAGCGAAGCTATTTTGAGGCGATGGCAAATAGTTGAAGTGACATATCGTTGTTCTTTTCGACTTGTCTCGGAGTTATGTGACAATGTGTGAATATACAAGGTTTCTTTGTTTATTTGCACTTATAACATGAGAAGTGATGTGAAAAAAGTTAGTCATGATATGATAGAACTCTCCTTTCACTTTGACCGAAATTAAACCAATTTTGATCTATTCATTTCTGTTCACCATTTATGAGTCTTTTTTTGTCTCATAAAAACAAATGAATTGAAAGTACACATGTACTTGTTTTTATTATTTCGGTCTCGACTATTTCATTTAATTGTATTCATTTTTTTCTTTGTAAATATTTTATTGTTCCTTTCTACCTAAAATGGGGTTTTTTTACATATTAAATATTAACCCCTCTTTTTCCCCTTATCCTTGGCTCTCAAAGTACGCCGTTGAATTGTCAAACACATGAACAATATATATATTTTTCTCTTTTGTATCATATATTAAATATTTTTCGTTGTAGTTTATGAAAATTATACATATATTATTTCGAACTACTTATCCCCCCGTATATGTATGTACCTTTACAATATCCAAGATTTCAAACAAAAAAAAACCTTTTTTTTCAAAAAAAAAAGAATATATATATATATATATATATCTTAAAAAAAGTACGTATTTAAACAAAAAAAAAAAAAAATTATTATGTATGCCTTTTCTCTCTCTACACCAAATAATCCTCCTCCTTTTTTTTTTTTTTTGACAATTTGATTCTTACTGACTGGGATAATGTTACTAGAATAGTTTAATTTGGTTGAGAAAGAAAAAAAAAATTTATATATGGAAAATAAATATCCTTTATGCTCGATCAACATATATTTTTTAATGTAATATGGTGGTGTTTTTTTTTTTTTTTTTTTTTAAAAAAAAAAAAAGGGTGTGGTTTATAAATTTGGCCATGGATAAAAAGTTTTTGCCATTGTATATGTTTTTAATTAAATACTGTATTAAGTTTAATTCAATTCAATTATATATAAATTATTTAAAATTTTTAATAAATAAAATATATATATCCATATCGATTATATAATACAATTTTGATAATCAGGGTTTCGTTTTGTTTTTCCCACACTTATACATACCCTAAATGAAATGGTTAAATGATTTCTCGTAAAAATTATTAGTATATATGTTGTTGAGAATTTAAGTTTCTTTGGATTTTTAAAATAAATTCTACGTATCGATATACCATAAAAATTCTAATTTTATTAAGAAATTCCAAATCCACTTAAACTCCGTTCCCATACGTATAAGCATCTCCTATATTGTATGTATAAGCATATCATGTTTATAAGCATATTTCTTTTTTGAAATAAACTATTATTAAATATGCGTATAAAAATAATTCTACATACGTATAAGCACTCTTTCTAAGTATGTCTTCTATATAAGGACACTTTCCGATAATGTGATTATATGAGAATACGACTGTGTAAAACAAAAAACTTAGTAATGGCTAAAATGCATGACGAAATTAACTACTGTATATCGATGTTATTCTGTTAAAAAAAGAATAATAATTAGACACCCGAATTTTCTATCAGGGTCGTAAGTTACTAATAAGCTTTGTTCTGGCCATTTGTCTTAATGCTAGGTAGAAATTAATACGTTAGTCAGTAATTTAGCATTAAATTTGATGGTAATTTACTAACGCTAATGATACGATAACTTTTCACGGTAAGTTTACCACTAAACAATTCTGATGGTTTAATTAAATAGAGCTGTAATCTTGGCCAAAGTTTAAGTATAACTCACTAAAACTACAACTATATGTACATGCTTGCTTTGTTTATATTTATACGTATCCGGACCAGACTGAGAAAAAATTATTTAGACTCTACGTAACAAAAATCATATGTATATATACGTATACGTATACTGTATATGTGCCCCATAACAGATCGTTGTCTCGTCATATAAAAACCATTTATATTAAACCAATATTTAATTATGAAATTTATTTTTAGATAGTATAAGATATAATTATTTAAAATAATTAACAAAAATAATTATAATTATTAACATTAATTAACATTATTTGATTTTTTTTTTTTTTTAATGTTACAGTAGATGTTTCATTTGTTTGTTATTAAAATATTATTATGATTCAAGTTATTGTATTAACAAACCACTTCACCTGGTTATAGTCACCCGTTCAATAAAAATTTTTGGTCACATGGTCAACGCCATGACCGGCCAATCAAGTCCTATCGTCGAACACACTATGAATCGCCTAACCGCAAAACATTCATTTTTAATACTCTCGTGCTTACTTTTTTGATACATCAAAACAGATCTAAAATTTTTAACATTCCACTACGTATAATAACATACAATCATATTGGTTATTTTTAGGGTGTGTTTAAGGGTAGAGGATAATATTTAAATTATATATAAACTTAATAGTAAAATTTTTGTATATTTAATTTTTTTTTTTTTTTTTTTCCTTCACTTGAGCAGTCTTGCTGGTCACCTTTATTATGTATTTTTGTATTACATACATAC